AAAAAAAAAAAAAAAAAAAAAAATAATAATACTAGATATAATGAAGGTACTGAAGGAAAACTCAAACTATTTACCTCAAATGGTAATTCTGAGCTAATCACAGCACAGTGCTTCCTTTCGTTCTCAGGTTTTACTTTAGGAATGATCACAAGAGTTAAGCCTGACCAATGAAATGAAAATACAATAAAGAAGAAGGAAAGAACTCAGGTGGAGGAGGGCTTTTGGAGAAAGTGCTCCCATTCTTAAAGAGACAAAGGGGAACCAGTCCCTAACTTCAACTTGGCAGTCATGATGGAAACAGTGGCACTATCAGATCATCAGTCCAGAAGGAGGCACATGATCCTGGGCAGAACTCGGGGACACAGAAGTCACAATCCTGGGACACTGTGCTGGCCTCAGCCCAATCTATGATACCCCATTATATGAAAAAAAAAATTCCTTTAGGAAATTTAGTTTAAATCACATATTGGTAGTTTCATATGGTTTGATCTAATACAAAGAAACAATTAAAATAATTATTTCATCCTAATAACAAAGATCATTATTAATATATATCATTGTGTTTATCAGGCCACATTAGAAGCACTCTTCTGAGGAAGAGTACAAAAAAGCTTGTTTTATAAAACTGTAAGCAAGGAAACTCATGTACATCTCTGAAAATGAGTTGCATCCTGTTATATTTTGAATCAACTTTGGAAAATAAAGTGGAACTAATTTTAGAATCTCAAACAAATAAGACAGCACTAGTAAAATCTGATCTAAAAATAATTAGAAATTACACTGTAAAGTTCTAAGACTCTATAATGCAGCTGGGAAGAAACAAGTCATACTGTTAATATTTTTCACTTTACTTCTAGACTTCTTTGGTGTACATTGGAAAAACTAGAGTAAAGGGAAGTCACTGCTATAAAACAAGGAAGATAATGAGAATAATTATCTTTACAGGTATAAATAAGCATTAAACAAACTGAATAAGATTGTAGCAGGAAGAGAAGCAGAGAGTCCCTTGAACTTTCTAGCCTCAGTTTGCTATCTTTCAAATGAGAACAGTAAAAATTATGTTGCAAGACCGTTCTGATGATTGTGTGGGTTTATAAAACAACCCTGCACTCAAGGGGATATTTACTTCTAAGCAGATATTTTATATTTATACAATGTATTTGCTAAATCATTTGGCAAGATTGAGTGGAATGACAATATTTTACTTTATTTTATTTGTGCAGTGCCAGGGATAGAACACCTCCTGTGTGCTCAGCAAGAGCTCTATCACTGAGCCTTAAAAGCAGCCCTTACCCAAGGCTTAAAGGACTTCTAGAAAATGTTTAGTGGTTCTAAGAAAAAAGTGCTCACAAAGGGATCCCTTTGGTACAATGATTCCAAACTTCAATTGTTTTACATTTCCTCATAGTCTCTGAATATCGGCCTTTAATTTGCTCTGGTTGAAAAAATATGTGACTAACATAAACCAGTATAGCACCATATAATGTAAACAACTATTGTCACTAGTGGTTTTGCTGCAAAAATGGCTGTAAAGCCTATTCCATCCACTATAGGATACTTTTAGCAATCCTGACAATTAACAACAGCAGCAAAAAGGACCCCATATCTACACGATTGTACTACTTTATTTTGTATCTTTAAAAAGATGAATGTAGTTAAAAGAAGGCTTGGTTTTAAGAATCAATAGAATACAATGGGAGGCAAGAAGCAACAGAAGAAGAAAAGCTCAAGTGGAAAAAAGTTAAAGCAAAGAAGGCAATAATATAGTAAGAATAAATACTACCTCTGAATAATTTTAATATGTCAAATGCAAATGGACATAGCTTGGATTAATAAAAAATTTTGAGCAACCCTAATATCTTACTAGTATACAAGTAATGTGATAAATTAAAGAATCTATGGATGTCTCTCTCTGTATATAGAATAAATAAATGATCAAAAGGAAAATCAGGTATGTGAAAATTATTCATATAATTGATCATTTTAGTAACTTTAAAATAACCAGTATTTTATGGACAAATTTCTTGAAAAATAAAATTTAGCAGTGACATAAGAAGAAACAAAAAATATAAATAGCTTTAAAATTTTGGGGGGTGGGTATTGGGGATCCAACTTGGGTTCTTACCCTTGCAAGGTAGGCGGCAGAATCACTGAGCTAAATCCTTGGCCCTAAATCTATTTTTTTAAAAATTGAATTTGTTACCAAAAGTCATTCCCTCCAGAGGGGGGAAAAAAAAAGTTCATTCCCTGATGGTTTCACTTTTGAATTCTATCAAATATTCCAGGAAGAGATAATACCAGTGTTAAAAAATGTTTTAAAACCATAGATGTGAAGGGATCATTTATTCACATATTTTATAGTGAGTATCAAAATATGACAGACATTACAAAAATATAGACAATATCTACACATATATATGTATCATTTATGTACAGATATATATGTATATACCACATATATATAAGTATATATGATTATGGAGAAGATAAAAGGGATCAAAATGGGTGGGATATATGTACCAATTCCCCAAGATGAATGTATTTATTATGTTTTGAAACCATATACTAATAAAATAATTTTTAAAAGGAAAAAAAAAGTAGCCAGAGACAAAAATTAAACAGAAAATAATTAGTGGTAACATAAAGAATATATCTTGGCCAAATCGGATTTATCTCAGAAATACAAAGTTGTTTCAATATTCAAGAATAAATGTAGGGCCGGGGAATAGCTCAATAGTTCTGCTGTCTGCCTCGCAAGTGCAAGGACCCAAGTTCAATCCCCAGTACCAAAAAAAAAAAAAAAAAGAGTAAATGTATTATATTCACTACACTCACTCATTAAAATGGGGAGAAACAGAATCACTCCTTGCAAATTGAGAAAGCATTTGACAAAAGTCAACATAATTCATAGTAAAACTCTTAATTTAAAAATAGTAGTATGGGGGCTGGGGATGTAGTTGAGTGGCACTGTACCTGCCTGGCAAGTGCAAGGTCCTGAGTTGATCCCATGTACCAGGGAAG